GAGACAGGCATCTGACTTTCTGGTTTCTAGGACAAGGTCATAGAGGCACATGTTCGACCATTATGGCTGCCAAAAGGGAAGCCGGTTCCTTCAAGACTAGAATCTGAGCCATTTCCCTGCATTGCTTGTCACGGAGAGAAAGACTTGTAGCCCTTCCCGAAATCACATGCAAATGCATTGCCTGGGTAAGACTGGCTGGGATGTACACAGCACTTCCCCAGAGACCCAGCCCCGCCAGGAGGGCTCCTCTATGGGATACAAGCTTACACCGCCCGGGGCCCCTCAGTTGGGACAATGTTGCCACTTGTAATACATCCAAGTGCTGATTGCTAGGGCATATCCCCCCACAAGGGAACTCCTATAATCTGTTTGCCTGTGAGGAAGGAAGGTTCAAATAGAATCTCTATGGGCTGAGTGCGAATCCTGGCAGGGTTGCCAGTGTAGCCACCAGGCAGGATTGGACAGCCCTCAGGGCCCTGTCACCCCCAGATTTTGAGGGGACTGTGATCCTATGTGGACCTGGCTTTCTGACATAAGTATATTGAAGGGCTCAGGCATGGTGACACAGGGTATATTCAAGGCCCTGTGTAGGGGAGAACCACTTAGAATGTGATCTTGTACACCAGTGGAAAGATGGGTAGGAAGATGCCTCTGAGGGAGAGGCAGAGATTAAGAGAAATATAGACAGTGAAAGACACTGGCAACTAGGGAGGTGTGAAGATGGAAAGACAAAGACAGTGTGGTGTGCTCATAAGCCAATTTGTCGGGGTGGGGGGGACAACAACAAACCCCAAGCCCTGATCTGTAGCATTTGCTAATTTCCATGGTGTAAATATTCCCACTGTGACTGATTTAAAGCTACTGGAGCAACTTCCTGCTAGCTTGGCCCGAGAAGGGATGCAGAGAATGAGTTCCCCTGAGTCAGTGTTAGTGAGCCAACAACACGTGGCTGCCAGAGAGAATGGAGACCAGAGACAAAGAGACCGACATTCCAGGTAAAGAGTACCAGAATACCACTAGTAGTGTTCCCCCCCCCCCCGTGCCCCCCTCCCGCCCGGTCCTAGAATCCAAGAGGACGAGGCAGGAAGATAGCAAGATGGAAGCTGGTGTAGACTAATTAGCAGGGCTTGGTGACCCCAAATCAAGGGCTAAGGATGTAGAGTGCTTGCCTGAGGCCATAAACTAAGCCATAAACTGAAGCGAGTATAGAAGGGTTGGGGAAGACAAGGGAG